GGTAAAGCTTATTTCTTTAACGTTTTAAAATCTAAAAGTTTCTTTATTCTCTTTTAAGTTTAATTATTAAAATAAACTTTAGGTTTTTAAGATAATTTTATTATCTTATTTAATAATCTTTAAGAATTAAAAACCTTTTTAACTTTACTCTTATTCTTTATAATTATATTTATACTTTTTATTCTTTTATTTAACTTTTTTACTTAAAAGAATTTATAACTTTATAAGTTAATTATATAATTTTAAAATAATTATAATATTATTAAATTTTTAAGCGTATATTTTAATGATAAAATTATCTTTTAATACTCTTATCTTAAATCTCTTATATAGCTTAATTATAGTTTTATATTTAGCTTTTAATATTTATTTCTTTTTATTTATTAAGTATTTTATTATTATAATTCTTATCTCTCTTTAAACTTTTTAGGTAAGTATTTATTCTTATTTTTATAATTATATCTTATATATTTTTACTTCTTATAAAAGAAATACTAAAAATAATCTAGGTCTCTTTATACGTTATTTTTAAAAAAAAAAGCTAGTAATATTAAAGCTTTATTTCTTAGATTTAAATTATTATTAACGTGAAAAGGTTTTATATAATTACCTCTTATTTACCTATTTAAGTTTTAAGTGTAATAATTAAGCCTTTTATATTATTTATATAATCTTAATAATTTTAGGTTTATTTAAACCTTAAATACTTTTAATTACTTAATAAGTTTAAATATTTTCTTATCTCTTTTTACTTATTATTTAATTTACTACTTATTTTATTTTATTTAATAGTTTATTAATATATAAATTAAGTTTATACTTATTATTAAAGTTAATTTCTTATATTATCTTATAATCTTTTTTAAGGTAAATAAGCGATTATTATAAAGAATAATCTTAAAATTAGCTATTATTAAACCTTTAATAGCTATCCCTTATATTTACTTATTTAAAGTAAATAATCTATTTAACACTTACTTTTAAAGCTAAGCGTTTATTTCTTTATTAGTTAAATAAGTAATAAAGTTAATAAGTAGTATTTATCTTACGTTTATCTTTACTAGACCTTTAAATGTATTGTATTTTTTGTATTTTTTACTATACTGTATTATATTATATTATAATGTAATATATTACAATACATTACAAGATTAGAATACCTATAAATGTATTA